AGTACCGGAGTATTAAAATGTCAGATCTTTTTTCTTAGGCGACACAAGTGTGCACTTCCACAGGTGCACCGTACGCAGCGCACGCAACGCACTACAAAAATACGAAATATCTAAAAATAGCCGCCATTCGTAGTAAGGTCGGAGCGAGCGTTGTGTTTACAATGTATTTAGTTCTATTTACAGTGAATATTATCAAATGAAGGGTTCTCATACACTCGTTTTTATACAGTGACCACAGTTCATATAAATACAAATCGAAATTCGAGACTTTATCGCGTGTTTAGTAGCGGTTGCCGTTATTGCAAAGCTAGTTCTGATCGACAAATGGCTTGGTTCGTCACTGACGTTAGCCTGTATTTTTTAATTGTGTCAACACTATACGTAGTTAAATTGTATTAACACTCGTCTTCTTTAAGTCTCCCTTTGTGCCTCGTGGCCAAAATTGAAGTACAAACAACGCACAAATCTATTCGACATATGACATATCTGAAAGTCTTCGATTCGCGAGGCAATTTATATCGCAAACCACAACAATATTGGCAATATTGTCTACCACGCTTGAATTAGACAAAAGCGCATATAAAATATATATAACTAGATAGCTTTACCCAACACTATTACGTCTATTACACAGTTTAATGTTTTATTGATAGAGTATTAAAAATCGGTCTCGACAGCTGCATTGTCTTGGTCTTAAAGTAAAATTATTACTAGGATGCTTAAAAACGATCTAAATGTTTGATATAAATAACAAACTTAAGCCTAGTTTCCATTTGGTCGTTAGTTGTCGCTGCCACGACAAGCGGTAGATGTGAAATAGTTTAATATAATAATAGTCTGTCCGTGTGTTTATGCAAATCAGTCTTAATGATTTCAGAGTTTTATAAAGTTTTGTTGACACTCTATTACATCAGCCACTTGTCGTGCCAGCGACAACTAACGACCAAATGGAAACTAGGCTTTACAGAAGTCAGAAGCCTTACAAATTAAAACAATCAATCTGTATAAACAAAATATCAACATAACTTAATTATGAGTTATGGTGCCAGTTATGAACTTACTACCATGCATTGAAAAAGTGTTGACAATTAACTATATGACATGACTAACAATATATTACTTTTTAAATAATTTTCTTTGCGTGTTTGATAAATGTGGTTTGTTTACGTTAGCTATTTTTAGTAATTCAGTTTCAGGAGTTCTTCTCAAGGGTCGAGGGTGGGAAGCGAGGGTCGAAAAATCATATATAAAAAGTCGAGGGTCATATAAAAAAGGCGAGGGTCATATAAAAAAGGCGAGGATCATATATAAAAAGTCCGGGGTCGCATTTCTAAAATATTTTATGGTTTTTATTGTCGAGGGTAGAAATTTGTGGGCATTCCCTATAGGTAAATTTGCAAGTGGGGCAAGCACAATAGCGAAAACAATACTTTGAAGATGGCGTCGCGAACCCGGAAAAGGCGTATGGCAATGGCAAGGTGTAAACAAGTCCTGATTACTCTGATTCAATAGACCATATAGTGAATAGACAATACAATAATTTGCGACATGCAATCCGAGATAACGCAGATAATGCACCACGCCGTTTGAAACTATCTCGACTGTAGCTTTTGATCGGCATGTCTGTTTTCATGTAGTAATATTTTATCATATAAAAAGTAATCGCATATAAAAAAATAATAATTGCATATAAAAATAAGAGCTAAAAATTAAAAGTAAACTAAATGAACACGAGCTAAAATTATTATTTTGTTAAATTATTAAAATGTATACCCTCAAGCTTTTCACCCTCGAATTTCTACCCTCGACAATAAAAAAAAACATAAAATATTTGTAAAATACGGCCTCCGACTTATTATATACGACTCGAAAAAAACACTCCTACGCATGTTTTAAATAGAACTTTTAATAAAGAACTAGATAGCTTTTATTAGAGATAATCAGTGTCACAATGTCCTTTTATTTTTATGTTATAAAATATTATGATCATTGCATATGTTTTTAGTCACCTGGTCAAATGGTACACTGTAGTTCTCCCACTTTTCCAACTTTAATATGCTACTGAATATCATGCATTAAAGATACCTTCATTGCCGTATATAAGCATAGTACGTTAAAGTAGCTTTGCGCCGTTAGTTAAGGCCCTGTACCCGGAGTGAACGCCTGAGTAGGCGTCTTGTTACTATTAGTTTCGTACCACGAGATGTGGCACTGATCAGATAAATTAGCCTTAAGCCTAATTTATCTGATGAGTGCCACATGTATCGCCCATATATATATATATATATATATATATATATATATATATATATATATATATATATATATATATATATATATATATATATATATATATATATATATATATATATATATATATATATATCACTGTTTTGCACGAAATCAAGTGAGTCTTCATCTTCTGCTTCCGGGGGCCGGTTGTATAAAACTCTTAATCACTTTTTTAATCACTATTTTGTAGTTAAATAGTGATTAACTTTCAAATAGACGCTTCTTATTGGATGATGTTTGCACTTAATCATAGTTAACTTTAATTACTTTTTTATATAACCGGCCCCTGGCCAATTAACAATTTGCTAATATCGTCAGGGAAACAAACACTACTCCAAATAACTTCCCCTCTTTCACCCCAGCCATGATTTGTGGGCTCATCCAGATCGAGGATCAAGTGGTTAGCTTTCCTGAAAATTGATGCAACATAGTTTGCACGGATGATGTGAAGCTTCAGATTGGTTTCACAGGGTGGCAAGAGCCTTATGTCGATTACTTTCTTCTCTTTGTCAAACCTGATGTGATAGAACAATTATCTGAAAGCGCAAACCTGACTTTAATATGAATTTTAAAATATTATACTTCGTACTTTTTTAGGAGAACAGGGGATATTCCAGTAACTTATGTGGGCCAAAAAGGTGTCTTAGGAACCAATTTGTAAGTTTCTAGCTTCAGTATTTTTTCCTTTTATACTACAGTACATATGCCATAGATATCTCATATACACTAGATAGCGCATCCCACCCTGTAGGCAGGCGAAAATTGAAGCCTGATCGCAGTCGCAGTTTACGTGCGGCGGCCATATTGGTCGTTCCCACGGAGCGTGATAATTTGTATCTTTTGTATTGCGGAAATGGACAAAGTTGTCAATAAATCCTTTTTATGCAGTCAATTTTGGTTTTTCAAGTGTGCAACTTGTTGTAAATGATGCCAGAACGTTGGAGCTTCATATTGTGAATAACGGGTAGGCAGAATTTAATTATTTTTTTCGAAAATATCAATATTTGTCGACCCGTATGAAGGGCGCCCATAGGACAAACCCTATGGACAAACCATCATTGTTGATGTATATATAAATATAGTTCCACCAATTCCAAATAAACATTTTGAGCCATCGCCATTGCTTCATGGCAAAATTGTGAATGTATTTGCATATTCTTTTGTAAAAGACAGCGACACTGAAAAACATATTTTAGTCACAGTTTATCAATGGCAAAAATAGACTTAAAATCTTAAATAGTCAATATATAAAACATTGACACCAAAAATGGTTCTTACTCCTTACTATTTGTATATTTATTACATACATACAACATATATATTATTTTATAGTTCCATGGAATCACATCAAGATTAAAATGTGTTAGAAGCTAGAGAAGAATAATTGCAACTTAATATATTCGCAGGCAATATACAGGGTGTCTCAAAAAAACCCCAAAATCATTGAAATAACGTATTGTTCGAATTTCAATGCCGTAACACAAAGGATTTTGACAGGGTGATTAATTTGTTTTAAAAAATTAAAATATCTTTGTAAAGTGAACGTTTGTTTGCTCATGGGAATTTAAAATGCTTCGTAAATTGTAATATGCGTAATATGCATTCGTGGGTTTAGTACTTTATGCCTGACATAACAAGTTTACGCTGAGTATTACCATTCATTATAGCAGTTATGTCAATCTTTTATGCACTCGTGGGATTAACTTAGTGCTAGGGCATTGAATATCGAACAATACGTCAATTTCAATGATTTTGGGTTTTTTTGAGACACCCTGTATATAACATAATTGATATTGCTTTATGTAAATGTAGTTGATAATCAAACTTTCTAAAACCTTCAATTGTATGAATGCTTCAAACTATCTTTAATATTTGATGTTAAGAAATATTTCTTTCTGTTGAGTCCTAGACCTTTTGTTTTTAATCCAAGCAATCAAACTGCCAAATTACTGTAATTATTAACAGCATAGGTCATTGATAATCAGCTGAATTTTAAAACTGCTTTGGGAAACCCTAAGTAGATTTTATAATCTTAAATATAGTTGCACTCACTATTGTATAAATAATTCTATTGTTATAATAAAGTATTACTTTTGACTTTGTGTGATAGTGTTTTCTAATTCTTTGACTCATCAAATGCACAATAATTAAACTTTTCTAAAAAAATAAAATAAATTTGCCAGTACTCTCAGGAATTGAAAACATGATAAACTCTCTATTTTTGCCTTTTGAGTTTAGTAGTTACTGTAAATATCATTAAAAAATGTCCAATTTTAAAAAAAATTTGGAGACCTGAAGAAGTTTTGGTGCCAATTGAAATTAAAAATTTGAATAAGAAGTAATAGTGAAGGGTCAAGTGACAGAATCAAAAATCAAAAGAAAATTTCCCAGGATATTTCATCAGTAAGCAATTTATTTTTAGTTTTTTACAGTATACTATTATATTGATTGAAATTAGACTTGCATTAACATGATAAACATCCCTAAGGATGAAGTACTATGAAAACAGTTGATACAAAATGTTCATCAAGAAAAGTGGTCACCCAAAAAGCAGATGTTTATAATTATGTTCTGACCACTTTTGTTCTGGTTGCATTGTCCATACTGTTCTGTTCTCAGAAAGCAGACACTTATATGTTCTGACCACTTCTGTTCTGGCTTCATTGTTCATTGTCCATATGTTCTGGCTTCATTGTCCATACACAATCTTTTTACTGAGCTAGATCACCATATTTTTGACTCACCAATTGGTGAAAATCATGTTATATTTCAGTTGACCAAGAGCATCATCAAGAGTTACTGTGAATAAACTTGTACCTTTTAAGCACCAGTGTGAGTGATTACACAGAATGTATCAGAGAAAGCTAAATATTACTAAAATTTACTATGAAACTGCCCAAGCTGAAAGTGCAGACTCTGTCTCAAACATAATTTTACTAAAGATTTATAGTGATAACTGCCCAAGCTGAAAGTGCAAACTCTGTCTCAAACGTTTCACTAAAGATTTATAGTGAAAACTACCCAAGCTGAAAGTGCAGACTCTGTTTTTTACAGTACAAACTGCCTACGCCGATAGTCGAAACGTTACTTACCAACTTCCATTTCCATAAAGTGGTGCCAGAAACCGTAAGTACATGTATTGATTAGACGATACTTCACCAGAGAATCACTCACAGATTCAAAACAAGTATATAAAGCCAATGTCGTAATTCGAAATTTTTAGCTTTAAAATGCGATTCAAAGACAACAACATCGCCAATTAATGTTTTTTTCTTGTACCCTTTTCCAAAAAAGCTGCGATTTCAAGGCGAACGTACCTCAAAAAGGTATGTTTAATCCAGAAATGCAAAAAAGCCTCGAAAAGTATTGTATTTTCTATAGCATTTCATTGATGAGTGGGAACGACCAATATGGCCGCCGCCTATTTTCATGGGGGAAACCGCTGAGATTTTTGGCTTCAGTTTTGTATTCCGAGATGCGCTATCTAGTGTATATGAGATATCTATGGTCATAACACTTAAAATAGCGAACACGTATTTGTCTCCTCATAAAAGAAAGCAGGAAAGCCACACTGTACAGCAGCTGTTAAGAGAATAGAATAAGTTAAAAGTAGGGACTGATGGAGTTCTGTACCGACTAGCAGGAACAGTCCGTCAAGTTGTACTACCTGGACGTCTACGTCAACAAGTTTATAAAGAGTTGCATGAAGAGATGGGTCATTTCGGTTCTGAACGCGTCATTGACTTGGCTCGAGAACGATTTTTTTGGCCTCACATTGCTTAAAGAGTCGGAAACCCGTAAGAAACCAACGTGAACCATTACATCCAATAGTAACCACCGCACTCTTCCAAATGTTTCTATCGACTGCCTTCACCTCGAAAAAAGCGTAGGAGGCTATCAATATATCCTGGTTGTTATGGACCACTTTACGAGGTATGCTCAAGCTTACGCGACTCGTGACAAATCAGCCAAAACCGCTGCAGACAAGCTCTATAACGACTTTATCTTGCGCTATGGCTTCCCTGAGAGGATACACCACGACCAAGGTGCTGAGTTTAAGAATAAACTTTTCTTTAACCTGGAAAAAGTAAGTGGAATTAAACACTCTCGGACAACCCCCTATCACCCCGAAGGTAATGGGCAAGTTGAACGATTTAATAGAACACTCTTGTCAATGCTTCGGCCCTTGCCAGAAAAATACAAAAGTCGTTGGCGTGATCATCTCCAGAAAGTCTTACATGCATTCAATTGTACCAGAAATGACGCGATAGGATACTCCCCATTCCTCCTACTCTTTGGCAGACCCCGTGATTGCCAATTGACCTTATGTACGGTCTGAAACCCCCACCTGGCTATAGCACTTATCCTGAATATGTCAAGAAATGGCGAGAATCGATCTCCGAAGCATACCAACTTGCATCGGAAAAGGCAGAAAAGAACGCTACGAGTGGGAAAGTGCAATATGACAAGAAAGCTAAGAGTACGAGTTTACAACCCGGTGATCGTGTGTTAATACGGAATGTGAAAGAAAGGGGTGGTCCCGGCAAGTTACGGTCGTATTGGGAAGACAAAGTTTACAAAATCGTGCGTCAGAAATTAAATGAAATTCCCGTGTATGAAGTCATTCCTGAGAGTGGCGGGGAGAAGACAACAGTACTGCACAGGAACATGTTATTTCCATGTACGTATCTTCCTGTGGAGAATCCTATTGTGAAAACAGCTCAGTTAAAGAAGAAAAAGAAGAGTGAGAAGGAGAAACAGGTCACACAAGATTATCAGACAGATAGTGAAGACGAGTTCGGGATTGCTACGTTTGCACCTGAATTAACGCGGACAGACCCAGAAGATGAATTCGTGCCATTGTCGGTTGAAAATGAAGCCCAGCAGAGTGTTGAGGAAGCTGTACAAGAAGGTGCCACACCAGAAGAACTAGCTCAAGAGAGTCAAGCTTCGACTGGTACCACGGTAGCAGCGGAGGCTGAGGCACAAGTTGATTCACACCCAGTTAGTTCACAACGAGTACGACGACCACCAACCAGACTGGGATATGGCAATCTGGGTCAACCAACGGAACATTGGACCATACACCAATATCCTGTGCTCCCGACACACCCAATTCCGTTCTTTCCCCAATATTTTCCATCTCATTACCTGTATTTCCATTATATTAGTCAAGTTGGCAAGGACCAATGATGCCATCAAATATATGGTGTTAGACACCGATATCAAGAGTCACGAAATCGGAAAACGAAATTGTTGAAATTGCCATCATGTTGCGAATAATGACTGTTAGAAAACAGAAACAATAAAACTTTACAAGAGTTAAAGTTCCAGGAAAAGTTCCTGACCAACAAGAAGCGAAAGCGGGGCCCGAAAAGTTAAAGAAACACTTAGTTTAGATTACTGTCTAGGTTCAATATTTGTGAGTCTGATCAACCCACACAATTGACCAAGAAGTAGGCAAGATGAGTACAAACTATAGCGTTGAATGTTGGGCTATATAAGGGATAATGAGGACAGCTTAAATAATAGGAGGGGTGAGTGTAGGATGCCCATTAGCAATACGTCATGCAACATTAGTTAAATAGGAACTATTGCATCATGCAGTTGTGACAGTTACCATAGTAACGAGAAAGGACAGACAAACAGATTTTCAAGATGGCGATTAATCAACTACGTTGTTATTAATGTTCACATTGTTTTACGAAATAAATTGTGCTTTCTACTGTTTTAATACGTGAATTATGGGATAGACCGAGAATTTAGTGAGCGGGCAACAAATACAACATCATCATGGTATTGTTGTGTTTTCACATTCTGTTATCATCAGAAGTGGTTTGAATCATGTACAACAGTGATGAATGAAATGAACTATGGTGTGCAACCACAAGTAACTACGATGATGATGGAAAATGGGGATATTGTAAATTTACCCCAGGTCAGCACTGGATGCAATATACATAAACATATTCAGAAGGGGAACAATCAATGAAGTGGTTCTTATGGCACTAATTTTAAAGTTCATCACGCCATAAAGTTAAAAGATTAGTTGTAAGAGTTTGGCAATTGTAAATACAAAATTGTCATATCAAATGTTGACTTATACACAAAGTAATAACTACTCTTTGAGATCGGACGAACTAGGGCTTCTTCATGTTCCAAGCACACGTAGAAAGTCTTTTAGTGATCGTGCCTTTTTGAAAGCAGGACCTACTCTATGGAACATAACGAGCATAATAACAATAAGCATAATTATAAATTTTGAATCGTGTGCACGTTTTCTTCCATGGTTTTCGTCGAGCAAATGCAAAGATTCGCAGAAAATTTACATAATCGAGCGCCTTAGAAAAATACATCGAGGTAGGTAAAGCTTTGCTGTTTTAATTTACTTTAGGGAAAGTACATTTATTATGCCGAGGGGGGGGATGAAGATGTTAAGGGGGGGGGGGGCTCCGAAATATTTTCTGGCATTAAAGGGGGAGCTCTGAAAGTTCTTGATATAGTGAAGGGGGGGCTCTAAACTTTTCAAAGGTTTGACCCCAGGAAATTAAAGTTAAAATATTTGCATTTTCAGGTAAAATTTGCGTAATAAAGTAATTATTTTTGTGAAATGATAACCATCAGTGGCGTAACTACTATGGGCTCAGACCGGGAGAACCCGGGGGCCCCCAACCCCAATGGGCCAAATGGGGGCCCCCCAGTCTCAGGCTGTAGAGCAAATACATTGGCCAGGGCCTCTGATATGTTACAATGTCGTTTTCTGACCATCAGAATTCTGTAAAATCTCTCCCCAAATTTGGTATGGGAAATGGCATTTCAGAGAGTCTAGATTAAAAAAATTTCTGGAAAACTCGTGCATATACGGCGCTCAACTCGTGCATTCGGTATTTCTACTATGGGGGGAGGGCCTTCGAAATTTTTGAACCGGTGGCCCCCTGATATAACGTTATGCCACTGATAACCATTTTTGTAAATACAGTCGATTTACATGCAATTTGTTTGCGAAATTTGCTTTAGAAAACGCCAGAAATTCAGTCCTAGAGCTTCAAAAATGTAAAAATTTTCTGGGGGAGGACACCCAGACCCCCTTTTCTCCCAAAACTTAGTATGAGAGTGCCAATCAATCACAAAAAGCTTTATTATAATTATTGCACGTATAATCCTCTGACATCCCCCCCCCCAAACGTCAGATGCTTTGCTACGTCCCTGATGGTTGTATTCGAAACCGATTTCAGTTTTAAGATATCCTTAGTCTGCTCTTCTAAATGGATACACGAAATCACCTATAGCTTATTTAAATTTTTTGGCGCCAGGTTTATGAAGTAATTTACGTGCCAAAAAGTAGCAGTTCCAAAAACAAAAAAGCATATACGATTTGCAAGAATGATATGTTCTATGTTTATGGGATATTTCGTACAAACGGGATGGAAATTAAAGAAATTGAAGCATACTGGCACTTTTGCAGGCATACAAAGACATTTGCAACAGATGCCAGGAGATACGTTGGGACCCTGATCCAGGAAATCCTGGCCATTACATGAACGTGTTCAAGACAACGAATACGCTGAATGATGGACAACAACAACCTGTTGATAATTTCACCCCTAGAGCCAATTTAAAATGTTTTAAAGACGGTGCCATTTCATCTGGCGCTAGTGAGGTGAAAGAAGCAGCAGATCGGTAGTTTTATTGAGAAGCACATGCTTGAGTATATCAGACATCTTGAGGAACTGCAAATTGTATCTATGATAAGAGAGAATTCCGGATTGTACTCCTTCGATTCCGAATTCTAGAGGGGGGGGGGCATTGAAAATTTTAAAAACTTGGAGGGGGGGGCATTGAAATTTACCGATAACCTCAACAGGGGCTCTGTAAAATTAGGAGCTTTTTTCAAGACATCTTCATCCCCCTCCCTCGGTGTAATAAATGTACTTTCCCTAAATTAGAATATTAATTAAGTTGTGTCTTTGCCACTTAAAATTAGTTGTTTCTCTGGCATATTTTATGCCAGTTTGTAAATTTATGCCAGTTCTAAAATCTTGAATACGAACTGCATAGTGGTTCGTATTCAAAATGAAATGTGAAGTGGGTGAACAATTGGAAAGGTTTGCGAATATGGAGATTTAAAGTGCGAATGAATGTGGTGAAAATCTCAAATTTGCATAATGCGGAAGGAAAAGTGCCCCTGATCGAACTTTGCATTTTCTCATGAATATTTTGCTAAAGACGTTTGTGCCAGGGCTGATAGTTGGCAAGTACAAGAGGGGTGTACATTTTGTGTTTTTTTTTTCAAATGGTAAGTTTATATTGGTGCATTATTATAATAGAAATTTGTTGTGAATTTGTGACAAATGAAACCGAAGGTAATTTGAAATTTTAAAGTATTCAGAAACACTAATATTACAATTTAATACATTGTCAATAATAGACGTTGTTCTCAACGCATTATTTTTACAGTAAATGTCTTAATTTCCTAAATTAATTTTTTTTAAATTTGAATATTGGGATGAATGTTGAGATGAATATGGGGATGAATCCTAGGATGAATCTTAGGATGAATGTCCGGATAGCTTCACAGAAGTAAAGTTTGGGCCATATATGACCCATATGTGGGCATGATATGGGACAGTATAGATATCAAGTGGGATTGGTATGGTGTCTAAATTTGTTAAATATTGAGATATGGAAAAGCTATGGAAACAAACACATTGCTATTAATCCTGTGGGAAATATGTGGGGTTACTTGGTCCATAGGTAATCCATATCAATGGCATGCTTTTACATATAACCAATTCTATGGGAATTATATGGTAGTCCACACTTGGTTGTGCCATATACTTCCCATATCTATGGGAATTATATGGTAGTCTGAACTTGGTGTGGTTCTGGCCTCCAATAGAGAATCCATACATATGATTTCTATGGCAATGCTATGCCAACGCTTACGAAAATTTCCTATAGGAATTCCTATAAGAAATGAAATTCCCATAGGATTTGAAAATTCCTATAAGAATTCATATAAGATTTGAAAATGGTGAAAAAATTCCTTTAGGAAAACGAAATTCCTATATATATACATACAGGGTGTATAAAAAAAAAGTAAGACAATTTTTAAATTGCTCTCAATTCCACAATTCTGTTCATGAAATGTAATTTTTTATATGTATGGATTGCTTGAGTTCTTAAATTATGGAAAATATAAAAAAAATTGAAAATAGTAAATTTTGCTATCTTCCGATCTGTGGTCAACTTTTGCTCCCCTAAAAGTGGCTTGCGCACGGAAATGACAAACGGTATTCTTTATTTGAGTTCATGTATGAAAAGTTCGCTATTTGTTGCATTTATCATAAAATTTCGGCAGGATTTTACAGAGTACAAATCCTCCGAAAAGCCTATGAAAACGTTACATTTTTCTCTGTTGGTGCTGTTCTTGCTTCATTATTAATTCATTTTTACTCCCATGAGAGTTCCGTGGAATTTCCATGGAATTTGTGCTTTCGAGTTGTTTGTGCTGAAACGCATTCTCTCGTATAATACCCCGTACACTTTGAAATGGCGATGCCACAATTTATCCCGCAGCAGAGAGCTTTTATGCATGGTATGAGAGTTCCTCCGTAGCAACAACATAAACTCACGAACGAATATCC